GGGAATGGTGGGGCTGGGGGATCTGAAAGGGCTTTTCCAACCCAAACAATTTGGTGAGGTCGGGCAGGCCTGCAGCGGCTGTGCCCTCTGGCAGCTGGTGTAGTGGCAAACAGCAGCCAAAGGTGAACCTGTGCTTCTAAACCAGCCAAGCACGGCTCGTGCCAGCGCGCCGGGCCATCGCGCTCACCACAGCCCGGTGGCCGCTTGCTGCCAGCAGCGGGGTTTATACTTGGGTTGAGGCTGGGGTCCAAGCGATTGCCTTCTGCTAGGTATTAAAAAAGCCAAACCTGCCCGTATACGCTACCACCTTGGTTTGGGCTATTCACAGTGAAGTCCTGAGAGTTTTGTCAAAAATTGGGGTTTTTTTCTGTTCAGGTATCATCACTGCGGTGGGTGTTTTGGTTTGGTTTTTTGGGGTTTTTTTTCTTCCTTAGTACTTGTTTTGGTCGGGGTGAGTTTGGTTGCTGCATGAATATTTTCCTCCTGCCTGTAATTCCTTTTAATGTTTTGTCACGGGGAGTGCAATTTCTGATTAATTAGATGTTGGTGAACAGCTTTCAGTCTGTTACTACGGAGTTTTTAATTTTCTAAACTATTTTCCCTGGGGCAGATTCTCACAAATGTGCTCATTGTTTTAATCCCATGTCCTCGCGTTGTGTTTTCTTCCCTTTCCTCCTCCCGAGGAAGCCTAGCCATGGCTTGCGGTCACCTGTCCACCTCCCTTCCCCAAAAAGTTCCCGCTGATTTGCAAACTGAAGAAGCGTAACGCCCTGGTGTTCCGGGTGCTCAGCGAGTTCCTGTCCTCTTCTCTTGAAAGACTTTTTGGTGTTCCCAAAGTGGGTGTGGGGACAAAATATCCGTTTCCAGGAGTTGCCTGAAGAGACGACTGTCTTCTGCTGCCTGTTTATTTATGTCTCTCTTTGCCCAGTGCTCACCGTATCTTTCATCAGCACACAGTTGGCAGCAGCAGTAGGTATCGTAGAACCATAGAATGGTTTGGGTGGGAAGGGACCCCCAGAGGTCACCCAGCCCAACCCCCCAGCAGGAGTAGGGACACCTTGAACCACAGCAGGTTGCTCACAGCCCCGG